TATGTACATTATATTATCCCATTTCCCTTTATTTTCTTTATTTTAAAGAAAAGCTGTCAAAGGAATTTTAAGTAACCTAAATAGATTTTGAAATTTCCCTTTAAACCTTCTTCATAGCTTTCTTAACAACTACTTTTAAGACTTTTCTAGTTTTAAAGCTATTCAATGAGAAGGACACCTAAAAAAACCCAACTTTGGAAGCTATGAACATATATCTCTTGTATGGGAGGGAAAAGTTTCCCTTGATCCTCTTAGGGTCTCTTGCTGGGTCTGAAAGTTAAACTGACAAAGACAGATTTACAGGAGAAAAATATATACGTCGACTTCATGTAAGTTTCACGTGACACAGAAGTCTTCATAAGGAAGTATAGGCCCAAAGAAACAGTTAAATGTGAGTATTTTTATGCTATGTTTGATGAAGAGTGGACAGTCCTGTAGAAATATGACAGGTCAAAGGGTATGAAGTAAGTGTAGCAAATTGGGGGAAATTTAGCAGGGCGTTTGCTCAGATTTGCCTTGGTGTCCCTTTGTCTTCTGACGTAGCCAGTGAGGTTTATCCGAGTCGTGATTATTGCTAATTGAAACCTTTGTCTTCTGATATAAGAATGTTCCTTTCCTCCGGGTATGGGGGGCCACCTCACATGAAGTTTTTATGACCTGTTTCTGAGGAGAAGGGCAAGGGGGAAGGTCAGAGCGACTTTCTTGCTTCTGTTATTTTCTCACATTTCTTCTGCTTAAAATAGTCAGTATTCCAAGGCACCCTATTTTGGGGTAACTTGTGCTAAGCCCCATCACTCTGAGTAGAAGCAAAGAATTTGAGGCTGAAAACGTACCTCCCAACTCAGTCTTTAAGAAAATCAGTCCCATTTCCATCTATTTTACTTCTATCTTTGGAGCATTTATCAGTTTTCTGCTGGCTATTGGAGGAGGGGATGAGAAGCGTGCAGGAAATAACAGCATGCTGTAAGGCCCCTCAAGGGCCTTAGTTTTTGTATTTGTAGAAATGGATATTAGCAGTGTAAAACAGAGGACCATAGAAAGTATGTAATGATGTATTTAACTGAATATAACCAAGTGCTAATTCAATTTAACCAAGCGTTTACAGGCAACTAGTGTTACAACAGATCTATACAGATTCATTTTGATCTAAATTGTAAAATAATTAAAATTTATTTTTGCTATCTTTCCCTTCTATCAATATTTTGCATACTTACTTTTCCTGTTCCTCCCCTACTCTTAACTTTTACTTAGATCTTTTAGTGATCAGAATGAATCAGGCTAAATTTCCAGTATGATGGCCAACATTTTGCTCTGGTCTCCTCTTCCTCCTGATGCTCCTTTTTTGTCAAAGAGCTTTTTTCCCCCCATTTTATAACTACAAATTTGGAAAATAAGAAACTGAAACTTTTACACATTTAAGTTAATTCAAACATTTTAATAAAGTGATAGTTCTGGATATTTCCAAAACCATTCAGTGAAATATGAAAATGCTACTGCTGAGATTTTGTTTTCATTAAACCTTGCTAAAAGTTGCTTATATTGTACTGCCGCATAAAATTGTCCCACTGTGTATTAAAGGCAACGTAATACGGGCAAAATTGCAGGCTTGTAATTCCAGTTTTTAAATTAGACAAGAAAAAAAAATACCCCTCTGCATTTGTAATGAATGTATATCATTATACTCTATGTTCCATTTCCTTCCTCTTTTATCCAGACACCTCCAGAGAATTCTTCAGACTCTTGCTTTTCCTTTTTTCCTACTGTAAAACAACATGCCCTGTTTTTGAAGAGACTTTTTATGGGATAATTTTAAACCTATTTTTTTCCAATGGGACAGTGAATGCATTGGTGCTTTCTCTATTCAGTTTATCTCTTGTTTACAGGTTTATGGGAAATGAGATTATCACCATTTTCAATCCTCTCTGTATTGTAGTTTCCTTGACGACCAACAGAAATCCTTTACTGATTTAGTAATGGTGAATGGAAAGGTTGAACTGAACTAAAAGTAGGGGGAAATCAAGCAGTTTCTAGGTCATTCCTGAATTTATTCATTAGGTAGTAAAATGGCTAAACTCTACGTTTTAATATGTTTGTATATGATATTAATCTCACAATGAAAAACTGCTTTCTGGAACCGTTATGCATTACTCAAAATTCCCTTTTTAATTAACTTACATGACATAATTTTCTACAATCATGTAACAGTTTTATAGGAAACTAAAAGAGATAGCCTTCCCTCCTTCACTTATTTATACTATGTCGTTATTTACTTGGGAAGAAAAGATCATGAACCTTCTGGGCTCAAGATTTATTGCTCTATAAAGACTTTCAAAGAAATACATCCTCTAATTTTGGGAAGAGTGTGGTTCATATCACAGAATTAGAATCTTGTCAGGTACTTTCCTGTTTTCGAATTTTACCAAATAGTTGACTGAATCATGTCATAAATGCAGTGATCACAAATTCTGTAAAACTCATAATGTCTTGATCACTAATTATTTCATTTATAATGTACGCCTTAGGTTTCTACCATGTTTAAAATTCTGTATTTGTTTTTGTTGTGTTGTTGAAACAGTAAAAATTAGGGGCTACACAGTCTTATTGATTAATATGAGGTGACTCCAACTAGCATAAAAATGACACAAATCATTATATTTTAGGAATAAAATAATAACACTAGTTTCCAAGCTCCATAAAGGAAGGGAGCATATCTGCCTTATTCACATTTGTTCTCAAAGGGTTTTTGGTGCAGTGCCTGACATTTGAGAAGGGTTGAGAAAATTTTTTCTGAGTGAATGAATGGAAGGATTTTTATTCAAAACATCATAACTAGACTCCTATATGTTCTATAACTGGAAGGCTTTCCCCCTATATGGGCTGGAATAGAGCCAAATACCATGCAAACACATATATATTCCATCAAGAAAAGAAAAATACTACAAAGGTTTTTAGAATACAAAGGGTTTTGTCTCCAGGACTACTAATCATTGTAACCTGGTAAAGATTGTGTTACTTTACTACCCAAAATATTAAAGGAATGAATTACTTGTTTTAAAATAACTAATGTCTATGAAATAATTAAATATATTTCACTGGCTAACATCAGCTTTTTTGCATATTATTTTCTTAGGAAATACTAAGTCCATGCACAAAAGCATATGTACAGGTCTTAATAGCATTAGGTTAGAAACATCAGGGCTGATGTTTTAGATTTGTTCTGTCATAAGGTTTAATCAACATCAATCTCTTCCTTTTAAGTTATTATTTTTGAGCAAAGGACTTAGAAATTAATTAAAATGGATTTGTGTTTGAACTACAAGAGCAACATTAGGAAAATTTTATGGGAAAAATGCCATTAAATTTAGCTAAAGGACTTAGCTTTCCAGGGCACTTTACGCTGCCTTTTTAATGAATGACCCACTGAGATTTAATTTATACCAGCTCTGCTGTGCTGTCACAAGCAGCCATTATATCTCTAAAGCATGAAGTTAATGAAATAATGCCTATGTGGAGTTGGTTATTACGTGCACAGAGATTTTTTTTTCTTGTTTAAAGCTAATTAACATGAAAGACAACTTGACCATTTTAAATGAAATGAGAGGGAAATGAGAGTGATATGTCCACAATGAGGCAGACAATGGAAATTTTACCTGTCAAAGAAAAGTGGAAACACACAAACACTTCAAATTATGCTAACTTTGAGAAAAGAAACATCTCTTCAGGGAATTTTTAAACCAAATAGTGTCAGCTAAAATAACCTATTCTTTACCAAAATTTAGCCTAATTCTCTATTTATATTATGTATGTGACTCATGATGTTATAACATTAGTTTGGAAAACTGGCAAGAAATCCACTGAAGATAAAGGAGCACATAAATGGAAATAATGTTTAGATGTGTAAGAACACTTCTCAATGTAGCCTTTTATATCTGGGTCTTAGAAGAGGTCTTAAAGGGTCCTTGGAAATGCTGAGATGGAGAAACAGTCACAAGAAATTTTATTTTATTTTATTTTTTTAAAGATTTATTTATTTATTTGAGAGAGTGAGAATGAGAGAGAGAGAGAGAGTACATGACGGGGGCAGGGTTAGAGGGAGAAGCAGGCTCCTCGCTGAGCAGGGAGCCCGATGCAGGACTCGATCCCGGGACTCCAGGATCATGACCTGAGCCGAAGGCAGTCGCTTAACCAACTGAGCCACCCAGGCGCCCCAAGAAATTTTATTTTTATGTGTCCCTTATTACGGGGCTGATAGATTCTTCCTAATAAAGACTTGAGAGCAAAGCTTTCTCAGCCTCTGAATTCTGGAGCACCTCAGTTTTCACTCAGAGTTGGAGTTAGGAGACCACTAAAAATGTTTCAAGTTCTTCCATAAAAGGAAGCTAAAAGTAAAGGTGAAAATTCCTTTGGGATGTCCAGAGAGTTGTGAACTCCTATAGTGACACAAATCATTATATCTTAGTCATTTTATTTTAGGAATAAAATAATAACACTAGTTTCCAAGCTCCATAAGGGAAGGGAGCACATCTACCTGATTCACATTTGTTCTCAAAGGGTTCTCAATGGGTTCTCAAATTTTACCAAATAGTTGACTGAATCATGTCATAAATGCAGTGATCACACATTCTGTAAAACTCATAATGCCTTGATCACTAAATATGTCATGTATAATGTATGCTTTAGGTTTCTACCATGTTTAAAATTCTATATTTGTTAGGGGGGACAAAAAAGTCACCTGGCACCAGTGTTAGAATCAGATTTCTGGGCCCCACCCCAGTTGGTAGGTCTGGCCCAGAAGTCGATACCTCAGGTGGGGTTCTGAGGCAGGTGGCCTTCACCCTACTTCTTAAGAAACACTGGCCTAGAAGCAATGCTAAGGAAGTCAGAGTAACTTGGACACTATCCAACACTGATCAAAATTTATATAATTTGTGATGGAAATAAAGCTCTCCTCCAAATTCTGTTGCTCCTTCTCCAAGCCACAGAGTAAAGAAAAGGAAGTGATGGCAGAGAAAGAAACAGAAGCAGTTAATGAGACTGCAGGACCTCATCTGGAACTAAAGCACCCACCAGTTGGAAAGAAAGAGCCTCACACACTACGAATTAACAGAAACAGTAACGGTACCGCAGGTGGATTAGGGCTCTAACAAATATTAGGTAGAGTACTTGGGTCAAAATCTTTGAAGCTTTTATCCTGCTGTGTAATGGTGTCAGGTTTGATACAGCTTGGAGGAAATTTACCCTTGAAAGCACTTAAATGATACGAATCTTTTGTTTGTGTGTTTGTATTAAAAAAAGGAAGATGGGGCGCCTGGGTGGCTCGGTTGGTTAAGCAGTCTGCCTTTGGCTCAGGTCATGATCCCAGAGTCCTGGGATTGAGCCCTGCCCCGGGCTCCCTGCTTGATGGGGAGTCTGCCTGTCCCTCTCCCTTTGCCCCTCCCTCCCCCTCGTGCTATGTCTCTTGCTTTCTCCTGCTCTCTCTCAAATAAATAAATAAAATCTTAAAAAAAAAAAAAAAAGAAAAAGGAAGAAAGTTGATACAAGACACCTTCCTGAATTGTCACAAAAAAGTGGAACCACTTTAAATTACATGCATACAGGGGCACCTGGGTGGCTCAGTCGTTAAGCGTCTGCCTTCGGCTCAGGTCATGATCTCAGGGTCCTGGGATCGAGCCCTCTGCTCGGCGGGAGGCCTGCTTCTCCCTCTCCCACTCCCACTGCTTGTGTTCCCTCTCTCGCTGTGTCTCTCTCTGTCAAATAAATAAATAAAATCTTGAAAAAAAAATTACATGCATACAAGTATCATAATATGTCCTTGGCATTTTCTCTCTAAAGTACACCTAATTCACAAAATTTTTTAAATTACCTGTATATCATGTATCAAATACATGCTTTTGGATAGTTTCATCCCACATGCTTTTAAATGTTGACTTGTCTTTTATTTTTTCAATATAGTTTTTTATTTTGGAATACTTTTAGATTTTCAGAAAAGTTGCAAAGATAGCATGGAGGGTTCATAAACCTCTCAGTTCTCCTCCCGTTAACTTCTTACACAACCTGGACACGTTTATCACAACTAAGAACACTGGTGCATTATGATTAATTTGAACTACAGGATTTCACTGGTTTTTCCACCAATATCTTTTTCTGGTCCGGGACCCAATTCAGAATACCATATAGTATTTTGTCATCATGTCTCCTTTCATCTTCTCTTGTCTGTGACAGTTTCTCAGTCTTTCCTTGTTTTTAATGACTTCGAAGGTTTTGAGGAGTATTGATTAGGTATTTTACAGAATGTTCTTGAATTTGAGTTTGTTCTTATGTTTTTCTCATGATTGGACCAGGGTCAAGAGTTTTGGGGGAGAATACTACATGATCAAGTGCTATTTTCACCATATCATATCAGGGGGTACATATTATTAACATGATTTATCACCAGTGATCTTAAAGTTGATTAGCTGGTCAAGGTAGTGTTTGACATATTTCTCCACTGTAAAGTTATTTTTCCCTTTCCCTATTCTAGTTTTTGGAAGCAAGTCACTAAGTCCACCCCACCTTCAAGGAATAGGGGAATTAGACTCCATTTTCTAGAGGGGAGAGTATCTACCTAAATTATTAGAAATTCTTCAGTAAGAGAGATTCGTCTCTTTTTCTCCATTTGTTTATGTCTGTATAGACTCATAGATATTTATTTTATACTTTGGATTATAATCCAACACTATTTGTGTTGTTAACTATTTGTGTTGTTCACATTGTTCTCGCTTTGATCACTGTGACCTTTCAGGTTGGCTCCTTTGTTCCTATAACATGCCCTCCCCCCCTTTTTCTTAATAATTCCTTACTTCCTGGCTCTGTAAGATGTCACAGGTCCACCTAGCATTTGCCTGCCCCATCCATGAAATCAGTTGGCTTTGATTTTTAACCTCATAAAAACAATGAGTAAATGTATTTGGTTTCCTGTTTATAATACTTTGTGCAATAGCATGAATGCTTTTGGGGATCCTGACGGTACAGGCCAAGAACAAAGCAGCATTTTGCTAGGTGCATTGCACTGGACAAAATGTAATGAATGCTCTTAAATGGCCTGAAGACACTGTTAGGAAAGTGATGAAAGAGACACTTTCAGATGGATTGCACATTTTCCTTTTCACTTCCTGTGATTATGTAGAAATAGTTTGGAGAGAACACTGTGGGGAAGGGCGGTGGTTTTGTTACCAACCTCACACAAAATCAGGCTTGACCTTGTTCTTTGTTTTTTTTCCCAGCAACCTGAGTTTCCATGGTAAACAACATTGGCCCCAGACTCAAAACAGCTGGGAACGATCTTCAGCAAAAAAATAAAGAGAATAATTTATTGCTTTATTCTTTCTCTTCCCCTCATCTACCATTACTACTTGATTAACATGTATTAAAACTTCTGTCTTCCATTATTTCAGCCAACAAACCCAACTCCTTGATGTTCTTATCTTTCTCAGCATGTTGTGTGAGCATCCATTTAAAAAGTGCCTTCCAGGGGCCGGTCACTGAGCCGCCCCTGAGGACACTGAGCCGCCCCTGAGGACTCTGCAGCCTCCCGCTGAGCCCCCTGGCTTCCCCAAGCTCCTTGCCCCCGCACCCGCCTGCCCCCTGCTCCTGCCTCCAACCCCTGCCTTCCACAGGCCCTTTCCACAGAGGAAAAAGAATCCTACGTCAGCTATCCAGATTCTCCACTCTTTCTATCCCTTTGCTGATGCAAATAAGGGTGATGATCTGTTTCCTGCTGGCACTGAGGGTTATATCCATAGAAGAATTCAACAGAGAAACGTTGGAAGACGCTTACTAACTGTCCAAGGAATGGCTGGTGATCATGACAAAAAGAAACTAGTGAAGGCGTTTAAGAAGAAATGTGCCCCCAGTGGCACTGTAATTGACTATCCAGAATGTGGAGAAGTAATTCTGCCACAGGGTGACCAGTGTAAGAACATAGGCTGCTGTCTCCTAGACATCGGACTGGCTAAGGATGATCAGATGAGGTTCGTGCTTTTTAAGCGCTTTTGGCTCACTAAGCGTAAGTGAGAATTTCCCTGCAATGAGTAGAATTTCCCTTCTGTCCCTTGTCACAAGTTTGAAAACCTCATAGCTTGTATAATGTAACCATTCGGGGTCTGCTTTTAACTTGAGCTAGTATAACTCCTTGTTGCAATAAACTGAAAAGAGCCATGCCTAAATAAATAAATAAATAAATAAATAATAAAATTGAAATAATAAAATAAATAGTACTTTCCTATAATGGTTTTATCTAAGGAAGATAGGGAGGTATTGCCTCCGATAGGTATTAGGAAAAACAAGCAAATGAGCAAGTGAGGTAAAAATACCTCTGAACAGCAAAGGAAGCCATCAACAGAATAAAAGGCAACCCACTGAATGGTGGAAAATATGTGCAAGTCATATATCTGACAAGGGGTCAATATCCAAAATATATAAAGAACTTGTAGAACTCAACAGCAAAAAACAATCCAATGAAAAACTGGGCGGAGGAACTGAATAGACATTTTTCTAAAGGAGACATTCAAATGACCAACAGGGACATGAAAAGGTGCTCAACATCACCAATCATCAAGGAACTGCAAATCGAAGCCACAATGAGATATCCCTTCGCACCTGTTAGGATGGCTGTCATCACAAAGAGAAGGGATAGTAAGTGTTGGTGAAGATGTGGAGTAAAGGGAACGCTTGTATGCTGTTGCTGAGAATGTATGTTGGCGCAGCCACTATGGAAAGCAGTTTTTTGATTTTTAATCAAAAAATTAAAACCAGATCTACCATATGATCCAGCAATCTCACTTCCGGGTATATATCTGAGGGAAATGAAATCATTACCTTGAAGGGATACCTGCACCCCATGTTTAGTGCAGCATTATTTACAATAGCCAAGACATGGAAACAACTATATATATATACATATATATGTGTATATATATATTTAGCGTGTGCATACATACACACAATAAAATATTAAATATTTTATAACATTTATACTTATAATAATAAAATATTATTCAGCCATAAAAAAAAGGAATCCTGCCATTTGTGACACATGAAGTGACCTTGAGGGCATTATGCTAAGTGAAATAAGTCAGAGAGAGGAAGATGAATACTAAATATGTGGAATCTAAAAGTGATGAACTCACAGAAAAAGAGAACAGATTGGTGGTTGCCAGAGGTAGAGGAAATGGGTGAAGGTGATAAAAAAGTACAAGTTTCCAGTTATAAAATAAATAAGTCCTGGATGTAATGTCCAGCATGAGGGCTATAGTGAACAATACTCTATTGTATATTTTGAAAGTTGCTAAGAGAGTAGACCTTAGAACTTCTCATTGCAAGAAAAAAAATTGTAACTATGTGAGGTGATGGATTTTAACTAAACTTACCTTGGTAATGATTTCATAATATATACATGTGTTGCATCATTATGTTGTATACTCTAAGCTAATACAATGTTATTTCAATTATATCTCAATAAAATTGGGAAAAAAAAACCACTCTGACTTTTCCCTAAATTATCTTACAACAAACACCAGACCTTGAAAGAAGCCATTTATGCTGGAAAGCCCACAGTGATTAGTTGGGGTATTTACATGTGTAGAAGGACATATCACTGTCAAAATATATTCATGAAACTAAGGTTCTGGAGCTGCCTGAAATAGAGCTCTCGGAACATTTATTTGATCTCAACACATAGTACTTGAGATTGTCAGATACTTTCTCCGTAAAGATTTTGTTTTCTCTAATATTCTTTCAGTTATCCTGATTGTGTTTTGGATAAAGGCAATAATTAGGTGGTTGGACTAGATTGCAAGGTCTGTTTCAAATTGTTGGGAAACACAAACACAAAACCAGATTGTCATTACTATGGCACTAGTAGAAGTGGGTTTTAGTTACAGAAATAGACTATGACTTTGTGGTCTCAAATGTCACTGCAGAGATGTGTCAGCAAAAAAGGAAGAAGAACAGGGGCACCTGGGTGGCTCAGTCAGTTAAGCATCTGACTCTTGTTTTGGATCAGGTCATGATCTTATGGGTTGTGATCCCATAGGTTGTGATCTCATGGGGGGTCACGAGATCTAGCCCTGCATTGATCCTCTGCTCCCTCTGCCTCTCCCCCCACTCGTGTGCAGGCGTGCACTCTGTCCTTCCCTCTCTCTCTCTAAAATAAATAAATAAATATATATTTTTTAAAAAGGTAAGAAAGACAATGCACTGATCATTCCTTTAGACAAGTGATTTTCAAACTTGGCTGTACATTAGAATCACCTGAGAAACCATGAAAAAAGTAATGATGACTGAGTTATAACATCTTCATGGGTCCAGGCATTGGCATCTTTTAAGTCTTCCTAGGTTATTGCAATGTGTATCCAATGTCATAGAACAATAATTGTCAAATTTTAGTGAACATTTAAAATATCTGGATAGTTTGATAACAGTGCAGATTCTTGGTCCCAAGAAACCAATGCTAGTACTCATATTTATTGATCAGGTGTGGCATCCAGGAATCTACATTTTAAAAAGCAAGTCCTCAAATGCTTTGGTTCTTTGTATAATACTTTAATCTTAACTGCCACAACTGTTTGTGATACCGGTTAAGGTTGTGGCAACAGCCAAGCCCTAGACGTCCCCGCTACCGAGAGCTGGACAAAACTCAGTGGAAATGTTTGGTTTTCTTTGCACGCTCTGAGGTCTCCTTATTTCATTATGCCTTCCTCATCAGCTAGATAACTCATCTTTTAACATTCAGCTTTTTGTTACCTACTCTTGAAATACCCTGGTTCCTGCAAACTCCCTCTTTCTCTGCCCTTGTGTCCCTATGCAATTGTCTTACTGTTTTATGAACCTTAGTATTCTTATCTGTCCTCCAAAAAACACAAAATTCTTTGAGATGACCCACTGTGATTTAATTTCTGTGGTTCTAGTGCATGCCTCAACTGCTTATCACTGGGAGCCTCCAAAATTCCAAGTCTAATAGACAAAACATTATAAATATAATATACTGTGAAATATTCTATCTCAGTGATAAATGCAATATGCCATGGAAATACAAATATTTTTGTTCATCTGTAAATTTAATTTATTCATGACTTTTTTTTCCCTTCTCCACAATTAGCATGAATAATTCAGAGGAGGCGATATTCTGTCTAGCTGTGAATAAGAAGTTCACATGCAGTTGGCTCAATTTTCCAAGCTATTGGAGAGGAACAAAAGCAGATAATCAAAAAATCACTTACATTTGTGTGTGAAATACATTTTGGCATTTCCTTTGGAATAAGTATGGCCAATGCTCTAGGAATTCCCAATATTTCATATAAAAGGCTCAAGCCACATCTGTAAGACCTGATTCTCCAGAAGCCAAAAAAGGCCCTCCTGTATAGTTCTTCCACACACTACCCGTATGGTCTGCTTTCCTGAGGACTCCTCTGGAAGTAAGAGGAGGTTATTTAATGAAATAAAAAGAAACAAGAAAGGGATTGGCATTTGTGGTGTGTTGTGTGTTTTAATCTTGGACCCTTCCCCCTCAATTGTAGTGGTCTCCTATTTATTTCCACATATACAAGAGTATTCTATTTATGTCAATAAGTTAATCAAGTAAAATAGGTTATGGCACCCTTAAGATCATGAATGTAAGCTAAAATAATTAAGGGAAATGTCTGGGGATGAAAGAGTGGATTTATATCCCCCCCAATAAATATTTAACCATTTATAGAGAAACCTTTTTTTTTTCAGAAAGACTTTTTTGCTTCTACAAGTTAGATAATTTAACTTTACTCAAATAGGTACTTTTAGTAAAAAAAAAAAAAACACTGGAAATTTACAAAATCCAGATTAGAATTAGTTATATTTTCCTTTTTCTTTTTAATTTTTTTAAAAATATTTTATTTATTTATTTGACACAGAGAGAGATAGAGAGAGCAGGAACACAAGCAGGGGGAGTGGGAGAGGGAGAAGCAGGCTCCCCGCTGAGCAAGGAGCTGGATGCGGGGCTCGATCCCAGGACCCTGGGATCATGACCTGAGCCGAAGGCAGATGCTTAATGACTGAGCCACCCAGGCACCCCTAGTTATCATATTTTCTATTAGAAGCATAAAAAATATGTTTATAGATATGTAAATGTGGTGGATTTTTTACTCTACTTTTCTCTCTTTTTATATGGTAGTGATATATCCCTTAATACTGATAAAATTTACAAAGCAGTAATTAAAATACCTTCATTAAATATTTTAATTGCAGAACAGTAATTAAAATATCCTCATTAAATCTTTGACTTTTATTATGGCCTTGATCAGTTATGCTTCCAGCATTCTCTCTACTCCTTCACCATTGGGTAAAGCCATGGGGATCTGAGTAGGCAGAAACCAAACAGCAAAATCATATTCTCTTTCTGACTGACTGGTTCAGGGAATTGGGCAAAAGTTGATCCCCTCAAAGGATAGCCCAGAGCTTTTAGTACATAGTTAGGATGGTTAGCGCTCCCCATTTGAACTAGAAGGAGAAACATGCATTGTTTCATGTGCAACTGGCAACTATCTCGTGACCCTAAGAAGAGCCAGTCTTGGGATAAAGGTTCTTGGTGAAATCATTTAGTCATCAGATCAGGCACACCTGAAGCCTGCCCTCCTCTAGACTTTGTAACTCTGTTAACTAATAAATCATCTTTATTGTGTACAACAATTTGAGCTATAATATCTGTTATTTGTAACTGAAAAAACTCTTAGCAGATATGAATACCTATGGCTTATATGTTTGTCAGATGAGAGAGAAGCAAAGAGGTTATTCTATCATGTGACAGAAAAAAATAACAATCCCACAATAAAGTATAAAAGGATTTACATCTGTGGTATGATGTGTTTGAACCAGGCCTTAAAAATTGAGGGTAGCTTAAAAAAAAAAAAAAGATTTTGGACTCAAGACTAAGAGAGAATACCATTTATTAGCTCTCTGGTCTTAATCATTAATCTTTTCCAAGTCTCAATTTCTACAGTTACAAAATGGATATAATAAAGTACCTTTTTTTTTAAAGATTTTTTATTTATTTATTTGAGAGAGAGAGAGCGAGCAGAGCGAGCAAGAGAGACATGACTGGGGAAAAGGGGCAGAGGGAGGGGGAGAAGCAGGCTCCCTGCTGAGCAGGGAGAGCCCAATGTGGGGTTCCATCCCAGGACCCCGAGATCATGACCTGAGCCGAAGGCAGTCACTTAACTAACTGAGCCACCCAGGTGCCCCAAAGATTTATTTATTTGAGAGAGAGAGAGAGGAGAGGGAGGAGTGGAAGAGGGAGAGGGGGAGAAGTCCTCAAGCAGATTCCCCACTGAGTGCAGAGCTGGACGGACACAGGATCCCAGGACCCTGAGATCATGACCTGAGCCAAAATCAAGAGTCAACGCTTAACCAACTGAACCACCCAGGTGCCCCTAAAAACATTTTAATATTCTGATCCATAATAGGAGATTTATAATTTTTTGAATGTATCTTTTTTTCTCCTTATTCAGTCTGTCACATCCGCTGGGATAAAAAAATATGTCACATCTGCTGGGATAGAAAAGATTTGGGGTGAAAGAAGGGGACAGAGACAAATTCAGTTTGAAAATCTAGATTTTCCTGTAAGATGTCAAGATGGAAGAATCTAACAGAGAGTTGGCAATTCAAGGACGTATCTAATAGGTGATTCACAATTCAAGTCGGAGGCTAAGAAGAACCTAGGAAGGCAGGTTATGTTAAAATTGATGCCATAGGTGTAAATGATATCACTAGTGAGAATGTAAGAAGGGAAGAGGGGTAAAGAGTTAAGAAAGGAGGCTGAGGAGTAGCCTGACAGTGTGTGGGTAATCAGCAGAATGTTCTATAAAGCAAGGAAGACATTTTTAAAAGAAAGGATTTAATTATAAATACTTGAGACAGAAGAATATAATACATTGAAAAAAATTAAATATAGACTGTTTTGAGAAGTTAGATGACAGAAGCTAGATGTATTAAGGTGTGAATTAAAAGTGATTAAATAGAGAACAGTAATTTATGGTAATTCTTTTAGGACCGTCAAATGTGAGGGAAGGGAGGCTGCAAACTCCCAGCTGCCTGCTCAGTGTCAATTCTGTCCCTATCGAGCAACAGAATACTTGTTTATTGTTGGTCAGTTTATGTCCAGTTTAAATCACATTTCCAAGCCTCTCTACAATTGGGTGGCTAATGAGATGGGATCACAAGTCAGTGGGTGGGGCTTCCAGGACAACTCTTTAAGGGGCCGCCCCAGCTGGGAGCCAGGTCCTTCTCTCTTTCCTTCTGGAAATGGGATGGAATGGCTGAAGTCAGAGCATCCGTCTTGGGACCTTGAAAAAAAGGTGAGGAAAATCTCAGATACTTCAGCACTAATAATCTTGAACCAATGTCATTAACTGTTTACTTCTTTTGTGTAAGAAGGATATGTATTTTTAACTCCCTGTTATTGGAACTGTTTTTAGCAGCCGAATGCAATTATAAACTGACAAAGTATGATAGGTTGGTGACATGAGGTTAAATGTATACACGTATTTTTTTTCAAAGCAATGGCTTACATGATTTCCAAATTTCTTGAGGTTATTATTATTTTTATTATTATTTTAGATTGTATTACTACTCTTCCCTCAATATCTGGAGCTGTACTTAACAGATCACACTCAGTAACCTCCTTTACACCTGGGACTGATTGAAATGATTTTGAGCAGATGCTCTAATGGGATGAAACTCCGGGGAAACTTAGGAGTGGTCAATAAATACATGGGCAGATGCTTCTCGTTACTGGTCATCAGTACATGGAGACATCCTTACATACTCACTAGAAAGGCTAACCTGGAAAAGACTGGAAATACCATGTGTTGGAAAGGATGTGGGCAGCTGGAAACTGGACATCTTGTAAAATATATGTAAAATTTATGACTCAGATAGTTGGGATAGTTGGAAAAAAAGTTTCGCTGATTCTTCTAAAGTTAAACTGCGTATCCCATATGACCCAGCAATCCTACTCATGTGTATTTACCTAACAGAAATGAAAGCATATGTTTACACAAGCAATTGTACAGAAATTTTCATAGCAGCTTTATTTATTTATCTATAATGACAGGATACAGGAACAGGTGAATAGATAAACTGTGGTACATCCTACATGAAATACTACCCCCAGTCAATGGTTGAGCACAGAGGAGGTGCTGCTTCAGGTCCATTCCTTAGGGACACAGGCCTTCTCTGGAGGACACTCCCTTGGCCTGGCCAAAGCTTTCTTGGAATTGCACTTTGCAGTCTAAGAATCTCTTTTGAACCCCTCCTCCTGCCTGCCTTCTTTCTTTGACAGGTGTTGGAGCTGCCTTGCTCTGCAGGCTCTCCACACCTTAAGTCCTCTCTCCTTTATCCTTCACATTATTTCCCCTAAATCTCTTTTATGGCTAATCCTGTATTAGCACCTGCTTCCCAGAGTATGTGGATTAAGAAAATGATTGGGCTGGGCTGGGCTGAGGGTGGGGGCATGAAGGAAATTTTGGAGTGATGGGAAAATGTCCTAAATCTTTATCATTGTGGTGGTTATATTCATTTTTGTTAAAACGTATTGAAATGTACACTTAAAGTGAGCATATTTTATTCCTCAATAAAATTGATTAAAAAATAATCGCAAAAGGTGCCATGGCTTACTGGTCAGGTCCGGTAGTTGTCAGGTAACATGATTTGCACAAGGAATGTTTTGAAAAGTTGACTCATGAGAAGCAGGATTGTGATGGAAAGTTATTCATTAAATAATCTATTCAATAAAAATACTTTGCTTGGGGCGCCTGGGTGGCTCAGTTGTTTATCTGGATTTCATTCTTTTCCCCCTAATATCTGCTATGGATCCCATGAACCCCTGCAGGATACCACATTACATTTAGTTATCATGTCTCAGGCTCCTCAGTGTCTCCATCTTTCCTAGTTCTTCATGACCTTGACAGTTTGGGGGGAGTGTTTTGTAGAGTGTCCCCTCCATGTGGGTTTGTCTAATGTCTTTCCCATGGTTGGACTGCGGTTAAGGTTTTGAGGAAAATACCGGGGAGGTGAATTCTCATGACATCATATCAAGACGGCATACTATTCCCATCATTTATTAATGTGATGTTGGTCTTAATCACCTGGCCAAGGTAATGCTTGCCAGCGTTCCCCACTATGAAGTTCCTTCTTCTCTCTGCTGTAGTTGCTCTCTCTTTGGAAGCAAGTCACCTCGTGTAGCCCACACTCAAAAGTGAGGGGCAATTTAAGCTCCACCTCCTGGAAAGGAGAGAATCCACATAAATGACATGAGATTCTTCTGTAGAGAGAGTTGTCTCTTCTCCCTCATTCATTTACTTACTACATCATTTATTTATATCAGTACAGACTTGGGATGTTTATTTTATGCTTTGGATTATCATCCGATACTATGGGATTTATTTTGTTGCTTAAATCATTCCACCTTTGGCCATTAGGAGCTCTTTCACCTTGGTTCCTTTGACAGGACCCATCTTTCTATTCTCTGAGCACCGCCTTACTTTCTGGCACTCTAAGATGTTCCTGGCCCCAGCTCTAGTATCAACCATTTCTCCAAAGAGCCCTGGTTCTTTTTTTTTCTTTTTGGAGAATGGTATCAGAACCCAAGATCTGGGCACTGGGTCATAGTTCTTTTCTTAAGGGCACAATTATTGAAATTTCAGTAGCTGCTAATATACCAATACATCAGTGGATAGCAAATACAGAGTTTTGTTTCATACATTGGATGTATTTATCAGGGTTTTCTGTTTTGTATTATTTGAATTCTGTTTACAGTATTATTTCCTTCTGAATTCTTAAAAGATGTATGGAATATTAGATTATGGTGGGCATTGTCTTGGCAGCAAACAACAACTGGTTTTTATTTTTATTTTTTTAATTTTAATTTTAATTTTTTTTAAGATTTTATTTAGTTATTTGAGAGAGAATGAGAGAGAGAGAGAACACCTGAGAGGGGATAGGGTCAGAGGACGAAGCAGACTCCCTGCCGAGCAGGAAGCCCGATGTGGGACTCGATCCCGGGACTCCAGGATCATGACCTGAGCCGAAGGCAGTCGCTTAACCAACTGAGCCACCCAGGCACCCCAACAACTGGTTTTTAAAAGAACTCATCCCTGGATTGATTTTCTCCCAGCAGAGTTGCACAATGGCTGTTAAGCTGTGCAGAGCTTCCTGGGTTGAGGAGCCCTGTTACAGAGATACAGGTACATTCATTTGGTGAATTTATCATATTTGCAATTTGGTTCCCTTATTTTTCTGCTGTTTCATCAATGCACTAGGAACTGATCTATCTTTACTGAGTGGGCTTGTGTTATTCAAGTTTGTAAAAACTGATACACCTCCATTAATACTGATTCATTCTTTTATAGTAAGAAATGCAATGGTAAGCAAAACTAGAATGCTTACATCAGTAGAATCTTACTCATTAAATGAGATATTTAGGAAGCAAAATTATAGTCAACCCTTTCTGGTGAGCATAGATTAAAACAAGGGGAGTTTCAAAATTTACATGTTGAATGGCATGCTGTCAAAGTAGCCTAATTCGTTTTCTCCTTGACAAGACACCTCTACCTCTAGAAACAGAAAAATCTAAACGGGTATGGCCTACTTTCTGGCTGTTTCAGTCTCTTCATTAGTCCTCTGAGCTGACAATTCTCTCTCCTTTTCACAATTACTTACTGAAAATGGTACAATGGATGTACGTCATTTTCTCAATGCAAGACTTCACTCTTACTCCAGTTATAATTTTTCTGAAAATAACTGCCTCATTAACCTTAATTCAAAATTTTGGTATTTGCAAATTCTTCAGATACACATTTAAGAAAGAAGAAAAAGGGCACCTGGGTGGCTCAGTTGGTTAAGCGACTGCCTTCGGCTCAGGTCATGATCCTGGAGTCCCGGGATCGAGTCCCGCATTGGGCTCCCTGCTCGGCAGGGGGTCTGCTTCTCCCTCTGACCCTCCCCCCTCTCATGTGTTCTCTCTCATTCTCTCTCTCTCAAATAAATAAATAAAATCTTTAAAAAAAAAAAGAAAGAAGAAAAATATTTATATCACTTTGGGGTTTACTTCTATAAAAGGCTTAAGCACAGATATTTCATATGGATTTCACTACTTTAATCCAGTTGGAGTGATTTTTTATTTATTTTTTTATTCCTAATTCCACGCCCCAACTCTCCACCTGCTGCCCTCATGCTCCTTTCCCTGGGAGAAACACTTTTCTGTTGTTCCCATGTAATTGTGTTGTGTTGGATAAATTACTTAACTTCCATAATCTCCTATTTCCTTACCTGTAGAATGAGGAAAAGTAATACCACTTCAGAACATTGTTATATGGATTAAACAAGACAAAATATATCAACCTCTAAAAAAAAAAAAAAAACAAAAAAACGAAAATACTGGTGAATGTAAAGCATTTAATAAAGGTTAGCTACACTCAATAAGTAACAATATCCCAAACAACAGCTTACAACTACAGTGGACATTTCAATTTTTTTTTTTAAAGATTTTATTTATTTATTTGAGAGAGAGAATGAAAGACAGAGAGCATGAGAGGGAGGAGGGTCAGAGGGAGAAGCAGACTCCCTGCCGAGCAGGGAGCCCGATGCGGGACTCGATCCCGGGACTCCAGGATCATGACCTGAGCCGAAGGCAATCGCTTAACCAACTGAGCCATCCAGGCGCCCCTACAGTGGACATTTCAAATGCTGCAGCAACAATCTTCATTCTGACTCAGTGTTGCCCTCTGAAAGTGGTGTGCATAAGCCACATTTATCTAGTGAATAGAGATATGTCAGTCTCAAATATTCATCTTGGAGGCTGAATTGTCTGCTTCAATCATCATTGTATAGATGCAGCAATTAATTGCTAAACTCTTTTTTAAATACAAAACACACAAAAACTAAGAGTAGTTTTTCATGAACACTTATTCTTGTTCGGTGAAAGTGTCTGATAAGGGTTGCCCAGTGTGGATTGTGTGCATTATGATATTTTTGTGTTAGAAGCAAGTATTTATATTCACAAATTAATAAATATATGTGTCTATTATCATTTTAACCTTATCATTTAAGTCTTGCAAATTGGCTTTTTTTGAGGCAGCTCTATTTGGAAATTAAATTACTAGCCTACAAAGCAATGGGAGTTATAGTTGCAAATGGCCTTCCCCTATTGCTGTGACATAAATGCGGGACTGTAACGAGGAAAGCCTTGACAGACGGTCATCCACTTGGATTACTGTACACATGGTGGTCTGTCATTTAGGTCCTCTGGAGAACCAAGGGAAAGGCTGTTGTGCATCATGTTAACATGTGTTAATATGAATATCTCTTCAAAAAGAGATATTTACCAAAGATTATGCTCAATATCCATGAGTCTCTCAGTGGATCTTGAATTTTGTCTATTTCGTTAAGCCCTTAGAATTATTAGTGCTCCAGAAAGACCCACCCAAGTGAAATCACCAGTGTTTCCTCCTTGTAGAGTGAACTGTATCTCAGAGGTACATCTGTTCCAAAGACGAGGAGTTATGGGGCACGCAGCTGTGTCCTACAATTAAAAATTACTCATGCTTAGGGGCACCTGGGTGGCTCAGTCGGTTATGCATACAACTCTTAATTTTGGCTCAGGGTCGTGAGATGGAGTCCTGTTTCGGGGTGGTGCTGAGGGTGGAACCTGCTTAAGATTCTCCCTCTCCCTTTTCCCCTCCCCCACTGCATGTGTACACTCTTGCTCTCTCTAAAAAAATATAATATAAAAAAATTACTCAATTGTTTGTTTTCAACACCCAAATTTAAACTCACCTCCCATTAGGACTCATTTCTCCTGTTCTATTTGTTTGTTTGTTTCTTTGTTTGATTTAAACCCTGAATTTGTGCTGGGGTGTATATTGTCAGATTCTGCTCTGTCCCATTGCCCAGTTTGGTACTCTCCACTCTAAACTCATTCTTTGATTCTAACCATATTTTCTGTCTGGACAGCAACTCCCCGCCTTTTACCCTTGCTCAGTTCAGATTTCTGAAATTTAACTTTGGTCTCCTACTTAGAAATTATCCTTGTCTGTGTCCATGGTTTTGACCTTATCACCTTGGAAAATACACTCAAGATTCATGAACTGGTGGTTCCAGCCATTCTTCCGCATGGCTGAGTCTCACGCCATAACTGGACAAATGATGTTTCACATATCACAAAGGATACAGTTGATGGGGAATATGGGTTTTCTTTTTGGAGAATCACGAGCACTTTTTTTTTTTCCTGAAAAGTCAGAAAAAAATAGAAGCTATGTTATTGGAAAGTTTATTTTTACATCTTAGAGATTTTTGTGAAAAGTTACACAGTGGTAAACAGGGTAATTAAGTTTATTTATTTAAACAAAGACATTCTCTTCAATTTCTTCTCATGTTTTCCAAACTCACATAATTTCTAAAATATTTGAAGTGGTAATTATTCTGATTTCAATTTTGATAATATGCAGATAATAAAATGGGAAATGTGAAAAATGCACATCTTTAAATCAATAAAATATAGTAATAAGATCCACTTTCTCGAATTGCTGTATCATATGAGTTTATGCATGTAAAGCATTTCACTCCATGCCTTGCACATGAAGTGTACAATTAATTACCTATTGTAATTGATTTCATGCTTATAAAAATGAAAGAAATCGTACCATAGGGCCTACAATATCCTTACCAAATTTTAAATCTTTAGCCTAAATTTTACCCAAAGTAGGATCTCTGATGTGTCTATGATATTGGTCACTCATTACTAAAAAAATATTAAATGTGCAAAATGTGGATAGCACATACATATTATATTATACATAGTACATACGTAATAACAAGAAATGAAAAAAGTAAGCATACAAGGGTGCCTGGGTGGCTCAGTTGGTTAAGCGTCTGCCTTCGACTCAGGTCACGATCCCAGGGGCCTGGGATCGAGCTCTGTGTTGGGCTCCCTGCTCATTGGGGAGTCTGCTTCTCCCTCTGCCTGCTGCTCCCCCTGCCTGTGCTCTTTCTCTCTCTCTCTCAGACAAATAAAATCTTAAAAAAAAAGAGTAAGCATACAGTATACCAGGTGATAATGGGTGCAGGAAAAGCAGGGTAGGGGGATAAAGGAAGAAAAAGAATAGAGTCCTATTTTATTTATTTACTTTTATTCTGAATGATTCCATTTATTCTTTTTTAAGTTTTTATTTTAATTCCAGTTAGTTAATATATGGTGTTTTATTGGTTTCAGGTGTACAATGTAGTGTTTCAACAATTCCATACATCACTTAGTGCTCATCTCTACAAGTACTCTCCTTAATTCCCATCACCTTTTTAACCCATTCCCCCAACCCATCTTCCCTCTGGCAACCATCAGTTTGTTCTCTATAGTTAAGAGTCTGTTTCTTGGTTTCTCTCTCTCTCTTTTCTTCTCTTTGCTCACTTGTTTTGTTTCTTAAATTCCACATATAAGTGAAATCATATGGTATTTGTCGTTCACTGACTGACTTATTTCACTTAGCATAATACACTCTAGCTCCCTCCATGTCATTGCAAATGGCAAGATTTCATTCTTTTTATGGCTGAATAATATTCCTGTGTGTGTGTGTGTGTGTACCACATCATCTTTATCCATTCATCCATTGATGGACACTTGAGCTGCTTCCAAATCTTGCCTATGGTTAAATAATGCTGCTATAAACATTAAGGTGCATGTACCCCTTTGAATTAGTGTTTTTGCATTCTTTGGGTAAATACCCAGTAGTGTGATTGCTGGATCATAGGGTAGTTCTATTTTTAACTTCTTAAGGAAACTCCATGCTGGTTTCCACAGTGACCACACCAGTTTGCATTCCCACCAAGAGGGCACAAGTGTTCCTTTTTTCCCACATCCTCCACTAACACCTATTATTTCTTGTGTTGTTGATTTTAATCATTCCAACAGGTGTGAGGTGATATCTCCTGATAGTTTTGATTTGCATTTCCCTGATGATGAGTGATGATGAGCATCTTTTCATGTATCTGTGGGCCATCTGGATGAAATTTCTGTTCATTGGAGAAATGGAGAAATGTCTTCTTTGGAGAAATGTCAGTTCAAGTCTTCTGCCCATTTTTTAATTGAATTATTCATTTTTGGGGTGTTGAGTTATGTAAGTTCTTTATATATTGGATACTGACTCTTTATCAGATATATCATTTGCAATTATCTTCTCCCATTCTTTAGGTTGTCTTTGAGTTTTGTTGATTGTTTCCTTTGCTGTGTAGAAACTTTTTATTTTGATATAGTCCCAATAGTTTATTTTTGCTTTTGTTTTCCTTGCCCCAGGAGACCTATTTAGAAAAAAGTTGGTATGGCCAATGTCAGAGAAGTTACTGCCTGTGTTCTCTTCTAGGATTTTTATGGTTCCAGGTCTCACATTTAGGTCTTTGATCCATTTTGAATTTGTTTTTGTATATGGTATAAGAAAGTGGTCCAGTTTCATCCTTTTGCATGTGGCTGCCCATGTTTCCCAACACTATTTGTTGAAGAGACTGTCTTTTTCCCATTGGATATTCTCTCCTGCTTTATCAAAGATTAACTGACCAAATAATTTTGGGTTTATTTCTGGGTTTTCTATTCTGTTCTATTGACCTATATGTCTATTTTTGTGCCAGTATCATACTGTTTTGATTACTTTAGCTCTGTAATATAACTTAAAGTCAGGAATTATGATGCCTCCAGCTTTGCCTTTTTTTCTTTTTTTCCAGAATTGCTTTGGCTACTTGGGGTCTTTTGTGGTTCCATACAAATTTTAGAATTGTTTGTTCTAGTTCTGTGAAAAGTGCTGTTGGTATTTTAATAGGGATTACATTAAATGTGTAGATTGCTTTGGGTAGTATAAATATTTTAACAATCTTTGTTCTTCCAGTCCATGAGCATGGAGTATCTTTCCATTTGTGTCATCTTCAATTTCTTTTATCATTGTTTTTATAGTTTTCAGAGTATAAGTTTTTCACCTCTTTGGTTAGGTTATTCATATGTATCTTATTATTTTTGGTGCAATTATAAATCAGATTGTTTTCTTAATTTCTCCTGTTTCTTCATTATTGGTGTGTAGAAATGCAAACATTTCTATACATTGATTTTGTATCCTGGGACTCTACTGAATTTGTGTATCAGCTCTAACGTTTTTTTTGGTGGAATCTTTCAAGTTTTCTATATATAGTATCATGTCATCTGCAAATAGTGAAAGTTTAACTTCTTCCTTACCAATTTGGATGCCTGTTATTTCTTTTTGTTGTCTGATTGCTGTGGCTAGGACTTCCAGTACTATGTTGCATAGAAGTGGTGAAAGTGGACATCCTTGTCTTCTTCCTGACCTTAGGGGAAAAGTTCTCAGTTTTTCCCCATTGAGTATGATGTTAGCTGTGGGTTTATCATACATGGCCTTTATTATGTTGCAGTACGTCCTCTCTAAGCCTACTTTGCTGAGGGTTTTTATCATGAATGGATGTTGTACTTTGCAAATGCTTTTTCTGTGTCTATTGAAATGATCATATGGTTCTTATCCTTTCTCTTATTGGTGTGAGGTATCACATTGACTGATTTGTGAATATTGAACCACCCTTGCAACCCAGGAATAAATTGAATGGGGTCTTATTTTAGAAAAGGTTGATCAGAAAAGGCCTCTCTTTTAAGGTCATATAAGTACAGATATCTGGTTGACATGAGAGAGTAAGACTTGCGGATATCTAAGGGAAGAGATTTCTTATTTTGCTTCTGAGAAGTGATACATTCAAAGCATGCTATGATTCTTGAGGTCAAATGGGAAGTTCCTCAGTGCCCAATTCAACAAAAAGTTTACCCCTCTGCTTTCAAAACAAGAGAGAAGCCATTCAGCTTTCCCTAAAACATCTGTGACACATGGACTGATCCATGTCCAAGATGAATTTTCAAACAAAAACCCTTGGATAGCTGTGTTGGTAGGATAGATATTCAACTTGGTAAGAAAGTTGTCTTTCATATCATTGGCTTAAACCATTAGAGATCCAGTAGATTTTTATTAACAGATAAAGATTAGATTTCATGATCTTTACTAAGACTTTGTGTCCATGAAACCCAAATAATCAAATGTATATGAAATATCTGGTCCCTCTGAAATTGTATATATTGATCTTATTACCTCATTTAAGCCAAGTAGCCGGAAGATTGGTAAAAAAAAAAAAAAAAAAAAAAATGAGACATGCTGTATTGATTATTGATCAGAACAGTACAGTGGGAAGTTCCTAGGAATCATTCCTTATTAACCTATTGGTTTATTAATTCCTTAAATATTTATGAATCATGTGAAAAACATTATGCTAAGGGCAGGCATTGGAATTCTAGTATAAGCACTGTCATTAACAAGCTATGTGACCTGTGGGAACAGCCTCTCCCTGGGCCTCAGTTTTCTCACTAGTTCAACGATATTTATTAAGTCCTTACTGTATGCCAGGGTCCATGCTTGGTATTAGGGTTCACAGAAATGAATAAAACGGAGGAGATAGATACGCAAATGATTAAGATATGCGTGTTAAAATTATATATCGTTTTTTCTGTTTAAAGAAAAAACAGAATGCTAGTGATTAATCTTCCAGGGAAAATAGGATTAGAAAAACTTCAGAAGAGAGATGTTTAAGAATAAAAGGAGTTAGTCTGAAAAAAAATGGGAGAAAGTCATGTCCTATAACTCATTAAGGACAGCTTAAATTTTCATGATCTTAGCAATGCACTTTTTGAACTTTTGGAGCAAGATGTGGGCTAGATGCTGATAATATGAACTAATCATTAAGAGTGATATTCAGATACTTTGAAAATGTCAAAAGCCTTATAAATATAACTCTTCATCATATCGATATTTAAAAATTCTGTTTGGGATTTTTTTGGCCTTATTTGTACATTTCCAACAAGAACTATCTCTGAGTGAAAAGTAGGCCAACTTTTCCTAAGGTATTTGACTAATAGTTCAGAAAAATGACTTGATTTTATCTTATGCTTTCATAGCTATTAAGATATAAAAGTTTGGCCTCAGTATATGTAAGTTCACTTAAAATATATATTTGTTTCTTTCACTATAAGGATTCTTGTGAAATACAGAACTAATACCTGCATTTTTTTTAACTGCACCATTGACATGTAGTTTATTCCCTCAGTGATTGCTGTATAGAATTTACTTTAAAAAAATATAAATCTACCTAACCTACTCCTCCCCACCCCAGACAAGTTCTCAGCTGAAGCATTTGGATTTATAAAGATTTTAGAAAGAGATTACCCAACATTCTCTCTTATCTTACAATAAGATATATTCCCTTGGGATGAAATCTTGTTCAGTACTAAGACTAGTCAGCCAAATGGATTTTTTGGTTGGCTGAACTCGCAGACACTTAGACACATCAATAGAAGAGCCATTGCTTTATCCAGTGACTATATCAAATAGCTATTGTTAGGATGTAAAGGTCTCAGTCAATCAGGACTCAAGAGTCTCAAAATTCTTTTTTGATTTCTCTTTAAGAGCTATTTAGATCAGACTTGAGAACACAGAACCATTCTTGTTCAATAAGAGATGAAGTTGGCTACGAGACCAAAGGGACTTTTACTTCAATGGAATGTGAGAGGAAGAATAGGAGTAGATCTCAGAATGATAGAATTTTAGTGTAGGAAGGGCCCTTAGAAGTAGCTAAGCAAATTCGTTCACTGCACATATGAGAAAACTAAATGCAGAAATGTTAAATGTCTTCCAGAAGCCATGCAGCCAGTTTTCCCATGAAGTGCCAGAAAGTGCCTTTAGTGTAGGACTCAAATTCAGGTTTTTGACATTACCTCCCAATTAGTTTATATAAATACACACCAAACTACAGTGATAACATTGAAATATATTCATACCCTGATTTAAATATGCTACAATTTCTATAATCCTGCTTTCTTCACAATTTGAACAGGCACCTCATTTTTCAATATCCTTTTCTAATATTCTGGAAATTTTCAGATATGCATTTTAGTCATGACTTTGGTCACTGTCCACTTGGAAATAAACTGGATGATGCTGTCTAAATATATGAGTTTTGGAGGAAATATACACAGAAAAAACATGTGAAAACATAGCAGGCAAGCTGGAACCAAAAAGTCTTTGGGGCTGTAAAAGATAAGTTCAAGGGGTGCCTGGGTGGCTTAGTCATTTAAGTGTCTGCTTTCAGCTCAGGTCATGATCCCAGAGTCCTGGGATTGAGGCCCACATCGGGCCCCCTGCTCAGCGGGGCGTCTGCTTCTCCGTCTCCCTCTACCTGCTGCTCCACCTTCTTGCGCCCTCTCTCTCTCTCTGTCAAATAAAATCTTAAAAAAAGAGACAAGTTCAAGGTAAATTGATGATACAACAGAGTTGAGAGGAAAACAAGACTAACATGGTGATGCATAATCAATCAATAGATGAGAGCTCTGAACAATCCTCCATGGGTACATGACGGGAGTGGCAAGAATGACTGTTTTCACAGATACTCCTCCCGAGTACGGTGGGGGCTCGTTGGCCACTGGGGATATCAGATGTCTGTTTATCAAGGCCCCAGTGCTGGTGCTGCTGCCACTGCTACGGCTCTAGCCACATTCAGCTCCTCAGGGGCAGGCACAGAATAGGCAGACAGTTGAACTTAACCAAGTATTTGGTTACAGTCATAACAGGCTGGAACAACAGAAACAAGAGGGGTCCAGATGCTGAGGCTATACGCAGGGGAGTAAATGTACGGATGATTTGGAATCCAGCCCGAGGAATGAGAGAGGTGAGGTGGAGAGTAAGTGAAGGCAGCATCAATAGGATGGGTGGTTAAAGATTGCTCAAGCAAACCAGAAAGAGAGGAGGGGGCCGTCAGACAGGGGGCTTCTGCAAATGAGAGTTTGAAGGTGTTGCACTTACCAGTAATGAGAAGGTGTAGAACAAGGGCCAGATAATAAACATTTTCAGCTTTGCAGGCTATGGGGTCTCTGTCTCAACGACTCACTCTGCCATTGTAAAATGAGAAGTCATAGACAATATAATAAGCAAGTGAACATGGATATGTTCCACTTAAAAATATAAAATCCATCCTCAGTTTGCAGGCTGGACATGGCTGTAGGCCATAGGTCAGCCCTCTGGTTAAGGTTATAAGCCATGGGCATAAGTGGCAGAGAGGGAACTTTAAGACATTGGATGTGAAAAGAATTGAGGATTTGAAGAGCTAGAAGTTTGGATGGGTCATCTACACAGGTGTTAAACTCCTCATGAACAATGACAGGAATTCTGTAGGAATAAACACTTGAAACCAAATGCTAAAATCTTCAGTGAACATAGGGAGTGACCAGGTGAATGTAGGAGATACCTGTGAAAATGAATGTTGGTATAATGATGACATGTACGTTAAACATGTGGCATTTTTTTCTTTTTATGACAATGGAGGGGGGTGAATATTGATCTGGAAGCCACAATGGGAAGCAAGGAGGCTGCCAACCGCACTTACTTCTAGTGTTATATGGGAAGAGGGAGAACAAACATTCTCCATGTCCAAGGCCTACAGGGAAAGTAGTGTCCTCAAGGCATAGCCTGGTTTCAAGGAAGCAAGAAAGCTACAGGAATCTTCAAAGAGCTTGAGGATGGAAGCTTCTTTGCAGATGCCATCCTAGAAGCCACAGTGCAAGTGAAGGGACAGCCCGCTGGGAGGTTGGGTAGCTAAAGGGCAATGCAGAGGGAAAGTCTGGAAAACTAGGAGTTTCTGTGTCTAAGGAGGAAGGTTGCAAATATGATGAGGGTAGTCTGCATGACTTTTTTTTTGCAAGGAGAAATAATGCTGAATAATGGTGAATAATGGGTTCTAATTATAGTCTCCTTCTAGATACAAATCTCTTTGGCTGCTATGGGGTGAGACAGGCAGTATTTTAAAATGGGATAGGGAAAGGGAGGGGCTGTTTTACAGGATTGTGAGGATCCCTGTGGGGTCCTCCTAGCTCCTTCTGAGGAACTATGCATCCCTTATCATTGTCTTGCCAGTGTCCAGAACAATTACTAGCAGTCCATCTGTGTATAATGAAGACGAATATACCAAAAACATTAATAAAAAGGCAGAATAAAAGAATAGGGTAAGAAATGTACTGATGAAGCAATTGGGGGGAAAAGTAAAAAAAAAAAAAAAATCATCAGCTTAAGCAATCAAGGGAAATGTTCAAGAAGGCAATGCCTTTGCTATGGGCCTTGACAGGTGAGATTTTGACAGGGCGCCCCCCAGCAGCTCTGATGCTGCTCCCCAAGAGCCTGTGAGGGTGTTGATGTGCTCGCACGGCTCCCTGACAAGGACCGCTTCCAGGCATCCTGGTTACATCTGTGCATGATGTAATGTGTAATGATGCGAAATGAAAAGGTTTGGTCATTTCAAATTGCCGTGTTCTTTTTTGACATTTCCTAAGAGATAAAGAGCTAGAAATGGCCAAATGAGTAAGAACAAATTGAAAAAACCAGATCATCTCATCTGTTGTCTGCTTTAAAAGGAAGCTGGGGCCTATTTGGAAAGGTACCCAAGGTGGAGCCAAAAAAAAAAAAAAAAAGATCTGGAAGATTATTTCTATTATTTCTCCAAGGAAATAAGTATCATTTAAAAAAAAAAAAAAGCCTTCTCCTTCCAGACAAGTTTTGGTAAAATGTCGGTATTGCATAAAGCACTATGTTCAGTCAGCCTCTTCAGAGGTACAATTTAGTCAGCAGAGAGCCCGAGGGCCCTTCTAGATCTAGAATGATTTCTTTGTGCTGTCAGAGCAGGAAAGTAATAACTCAATGTTTTCCATTTGGATTTGCTCCTTTAGTCTAGTTTTTAATAAAATTATAGCCATAGACTATTTTTTAAATAAAATTCCCAAGTTGGTACAAAATTACTTTAGCCTTAAGGGTTCCTTCCCACACTTAGATTCACTTTACCTCAGGTTTTCTATCAGTCTAGATTTAATGTGTGATGGGAAATATTCCCTCTTTTACAGATCTGAACATAATTGAAGAAAGAGTTCTAAAGTCCTCATATCAACCAGATATTTCACTTTGGAAGCTTTTATGGATAAAGGTTAATAATGCTTAAACCCCCTCTCCTCTCCTTGGAAAAGTATGCAAGCTGCCTTCAAGAAAAAATACGTTTTCTCCATCAGTTTGTCTTTATCTTCAATATTATAGTAAACAAATCAGTAAACTGTTTCCGAGTAATAAATTACCCCAAAATATAGCTGCTTAAAATAGCAAATATCCATTATCACCTAGTTTCTGAGGCTCAAGAATCTGAGAGGGTGAGGAGCCTGGCTGGTTCTGGCTCAGGGTCTCTCATGAGGTTACAGGCCAACTTACCGAAGGAGACACGGACATCTCCTGGCTCTGCTGAAGCTGGAGGATCTACTTCTGAGCTCATTCATGAGGTTGTTGACAGGCTCAGTTCCTTACTGGCTGTCAGCTGGAGGCCCACACTCCTTGCCAAGTAGGTCATGTATTTATGACATGGCAATGGCTTCCCTCAGAACAAGGGATGAGGGAGAAAGAGAGAGAGGGAGAACCCAAGGCAGAAGCCACCATCTATTGTAACCTCACTTTTGAAAGTGACATGCTCTCATCTCTGTCATATTCTATTGGTCACACAGACCAACACTGGCACAGTGTGGGAGGAGACAGCACAGGGGTGTCAATACCAGGAGATGGGGGTCATTGATCTACATTGGGGATCAGTGTAGATATATACCACTCGGTGCAAAATTTTCTACAGGCATGCAATGCACGTAGATGAACATGGAAATACATGCATACATCATCTTGGAGGCTGGCTATCACTAATATTAATTTAATTTTAATGGTATGTCATGAAATAATCACACAGTTTGGAAAATATAGAAATGGAGATTTAGAGGAGATAACTTGTTGCTTTACTACCCAGAGATCATCTCTGTTACCATGTTGATATATACATATTCTTCCAGAGATTTGCTGTGGTTATGTTGATCACATGGTACATATAAAACAGGTTTTTCTGAATTAAAATCTCAAATTGATGAATTCCTTCCATTACAGACAATTGTTACTTTTGTCTACCAATAGGATTCCTTCCTTTGTGTATAAATTATTCACTTGTACTCATTTTGCGACTTTAGTTCCCAAACCTGAATTGCTGACCTCCTTCTAAAAAGGACTGATGTGATTGTCTGACTTCAGGGTGTCATGTGGGCGGGAACATTGTCACTCCCTTTAACATCGAGTTGTTTTTCATTTTGGCAGGAAACTGTTGGCTGAGCAACACTACAGGGTGAGGCATTCTGGGTTGGGGGGATTTGGGGGCAGAGCCTGGGAGAATGGGCAAACCTGGAATTGGATTGAAAATGATCAGCAAAGGCTGAAATGGGTCCACAACTAAGATGAAAGCTGAAACACAGGAAAGCTCCTCCTTCCCACAGGGTAGAACTAGTCTAGTCCTTTTGTCTGCATTACTATCTGAAAGCTCTGAAAAGAAGCTTCTCTAGGTGGCAGCTCCCGGGGGGAGGGGGGGGGCGGGGGTTGGGGTGGTGGTGAGGCAGCGCCACACAGCAGCTCTTGTTCTCTCCCTCTGGTGGTTAAGCTCTGGCCAAACCCTGCTCTGTAGAGGCAAGGCTAGAGGTGAGGTTAGTGACCTTCAAGTCGTGGGACATATGCCATTTCCAGTGGATATTTTATTTTGCTTTTTGCTATTATTTTTTTAAAAATATTTTTCCTCATAAAAATAAAACTGCACTTTTTATAAGAGATTCTAACCATTGATGTGGTATTAATACTAACTTTTACTGATACCATTAAAAAAGTATTTTAAGTGTTTTATCTTATTTAATCCAACCACCATGGTGAATGTTATTGTTATACCCTCACTACTACAGATGTAGTGTAGCACAGAGTATCAAGTGATTGGCCCTGAATCACTAAGCTAGGAGTATCAGAGTCTGGTTCCCAAGGGAGCCCCCTTAACCACTGGGTGCTAATATTGCTTCCCAGTGTGTCCCAGGTACAATGCTAAGCAATATGCATATATTCTGTCATTTAATCTTTATAAGACACTTGAGATAGATATTATTGTCCTCATTTTAGAGAGAAGGAAACTGAGGCACAGAGAAGTGAGTTACTTTGGTCAAGCTCCCATGGCTGATACAGACAAAGCTTACATTCAAACCAAAGTTCATCCAGGCTTCTTCTAACTGCTCATATCCCCATATTCCTAGAGTAAGAGAAGAAATCATTTTATGGTGAGCAGCAGATACATAGAGAGCATTTTATGTTAAGAAAAGAAATTCTATGTGAATTAAATAGAGAAAAAAAAAAGGTTTGAACAGAGCATGCCAACTGTATTTTAAACCCTTAGTTTAATGATGACACAATTTCTTAATTTTTCTTAAAGTTCACTTTTAGTCATTTTGGGTCTCAGATTTAAAAGCAGGTGCTTGGGGGGGGGGGGCGGAGCAAGATGGCGGAGGAGTAGGAGACCTGGATTTCATCTGGTCCCAGGAATTCAGCTGGATAGGGATCAAACCATTCTGAACACCTATGAACTCAAGAGGAGATTGAAGAAAAGAAGAGCAGCAGCTCTCTGAACAGGAAAGTGACCACTTTCTGGAAGGTAGGACGGGCGGAGAAGTGACTTCGAGGCAATATTCAGGAGGATAGACAGCGGGGGAGGGGCCCTCCGTCAGCCGCCTTCTGGCAAGTGATAGACCGCGGAGCACAAAATCAGAACTTTTAGAAGTCTGCTCTGCTGAGGGACGTCGCTCCAGTGGCTAAGCAGGGGGTGGAACTCTCACTGGGACAGTGTGGTCTCAAGACCCTCAGGGTCACAGAAAGACCGGGGGTGCCTGAGTGCAGCAGAGCTCCTGGGTGTCAGAATGGGGAAGCTGGCTGCAAAGACGGAGCTGAGGTGCGGGCTCTCAGCTCGGGGTTGCCATAAACCGTGATCTGCGGCACAGTTGGGCCACTGCTCCTCCAGCAGGGAC